GATCAGAGATATGCTTGGTGGTGTCTACAATTGTGGAGAGGTGACCACACCTCTGGTTTTCCATGGGTAGCAATATAAATTCTAATCAAAATTAAAATCATAAATTAACTAGTAGTAAATTTCATAATATCTTTAGGACTTATATTTCACAATGGAGTATATGTAAGACACCTTTTAAAGACTTGAAGTGATTACATAGTAGTAAATATGGAGCTAATGAATAATTCTTCCTGAAATGAAAACTGCCTGAAGGGTGGTTATCAATTTTTTTCAAATGCATTGGTAAATGTAAATGTACCCGGACCCAAAAAAAAAAAAAAAAACCTCAAAACTTCAGTAGGTAGATAGACAATTGTGAAAAAATAACCTAAGAGGTTATGGCAACTTAGTCCTGCTTTTAAAGCCAGTGTCAGTTTTTGTTTTGAGATGGAATTTTGACTGCTGGTTGCTGGGTGACTGGACACTTAGCACTCTAAGCCTCATTTCCTCACCTTTTCAGTGGGTGTCATGCTCAGCACCAATCCTAGTCATGAAGTTTAAATGAATTGGTTTTTTGTACTGTATTTTTGAAAATTTCAACATGTTTGTTTTTATCATTAGTATTAAAAATTAAATTTGTTAAAGAATGTAAAAAATAACTTCAAAATTCTATATATCCAAGTCTTATTATTTGGAGTATGAACTATTATAATATTATAATATTATATTATAATATTTCAAGTAATCAAAATATTTAGTAAAAGGGAAAATTGACTATTTGGAAAAATAGCGCAATCTAATTGTCAACTCCTATATTGGGGGAATAATTCTGCCATGACTAGACACCCAAATGTAAAATTCACAGAAAAAATTACCAAATATTAGTGGAAACTGTACATCACAATTTACCTGATTAAGGCCTTTTTTTTCCTAAGAAGAAAATATTTTGAGAGTAAAGGGTATGCACATGAGTTTAAATTAGAAAGTAAACAGAAAACTGCAAAAAGGGGGCTTAATGATAAGATTACATGTAGTTAATGACAAAGTTTCAATTAGCTATCAAAGAAATTCAAGTAATCAAAATATTCAAACAGACATTTGCTTACAATTGGGCAAATAAAAATGTTCATTTTTTGAGAATGAAATAAATTGGCATAAATTTCTGATAATAATTTGCCAATAGGTTAAGATTAGCTTAAAATTATTCTTAACTGCAGTGAGTATGTGTGTGTATGTGTTTATGCATGTTGATGAATAAATGTTGCCAGCTATTGGAGAAACGGAGTTTTGGGAGAATCACTTTGTTTCTTTCCAACATATTTTTTAATGCAAATTTACTATAAAAATAGGAAACTTGAAATTTTGAGGCTTATCGCTACAGTTCACTTCCCATTTATTTTACTGCATTGCCATCTTGTGTCTAAAATGTGGATCGCTTCTGATACTATAATTTGTGATTATCCTGTCTGATCTCAGCACTTTATTAAGTATATTTAATTGAAGTAATTTATATGATCTAAATGTGCTACATATAATTTGAGCATAGCAAAGTTATTTAAGGAAGATATTTCATAAAATTAAAAAAAATGATCTTTTCAAAGCAGGCCGAACCCACAATTTTGCACTATTATTTCTTTTAGCTCCAAAAGAGAAAATTGATCATAAAGGTGTATTCAAAAAACTAATTTAAATTTTAAACAATTTTTCTATAACTAAGGAATCGTAAGTTATTTATTTTGCTTTTTGTTTTCTTTCTTTTTTTTTTTTTTTAATTTATTTATGCTTACAAGAACTGGGGTATAAGCCAGAGGCGTGGTGATTGAGGTTGGGAGGATTCACCAGAGGCGGAGTGAGGAGCAGATATCAGGCATATTTACCGAACTACACTGTTGAGGGGAGCAGCAGGCAAGACAGAAGAGGTCTGCTGCACCATGTGTGGGTCACCTTCTGGCCTGGGATAGAACTTAGGCCTTTGGGGTAATAGCGCTGTGACACATGTTACCAAAGTTTGCAGTTGCAGTTTATGAAAATAAACCTGTATTTTTTTTTCTAGTCTGAAAGTAAATGAATTTAAGATGTCTGTGGAATATATGTTTATCTTAGAACATTTTGTAATTCTTATTTTCTAGAAGAATAAAATTTTGCTATAGGGACTTATACACTTAGTTATTTCTTTCTCTGCATTATTTATGTGTTTTCTTATGAGTGTAATTGTAGTACTTCTGTTATACACCAATGAATTTGTATTTAATGAATTGAATTTACATGTAATTGGCTTGTATAAAAGTGACTTAATAAGCTGCTTTACTTTTTTGAGTTAAAATCAGTCAAGGCAGAGCAAAAGACAGAGGTTATACATTATTCAGTGCTCATTTTTGGCATAAATTATAATTTTATCTGACTCAAATTTAATCACTTAATGGTATTCACTATAATCATTTTTAATAATTCGCAAAGTAGGTATTTTATTACTAATATATTGCTGAGCTTTATTTATTTGCTTACTAACATGGGATTATTATATTTTTTCATCTGGAATATACAGTATAAGATTGTGTTGAATCATCAAAAACAGTAGCATGATGAAAGAATGGGATGGGGCAGGATGTGAAGCTACCGAGTTTTTGGTACTGTTTGCTCTTATCATCCAAGACAGTTCAGTCTCCTTACCTCCATGGGAACTTAAGTTTTCTCAGGGCAACTCTTCTACTTGACTTTCATTCACATGGTTTTAGGCCAAATGCTTGTACTGAAGTGTTTTGTTTAGTTTTAAATCTTTAGCCAAGACTACTTTTGAGTTCCATGCTTTACATGTTATGGTTTCTATGTGTCCATTCGCTGTCTCACATTTATAGAAAGCCGACTCTCATTTGAATTTGTGCTTCCTTTCCTACTTCTCAAGTTTCCCTGGCCCCTTCATCCCTCTAGCCCTGTGGCCATTGCCTACCCATGACTGGAAGCTGCTGGTCGCCCCAGGCACCTCTTCCTTATCATCCCACATCCCCAGTCCACACCAAGTCCCAGTGTCTGTTTCTCCAAAACAGAGCTTGAATTCTGCTTTTTTTGGCCGTCTCCACACATAAAGCACTGTATTTTTAACTAAGTTACTATAGTAACCTCCTAATTGTTAGTCTCCTACCATTAAGTTTTGTTCATCTTAGTTTCATTTCTTAGGCCCACGGGAACTAAAATTATTTTGTATTTGAATTAAAATCTTTGTGACTTTGCATTTAACATAATGGAAACCTAATTCCTTAGCATAGTGTCGGACACATGATGTAGGCCCTCCCTCCATCCTTGGCACTTGCTCTCATATTTGGCAGGTAAAAATCTTCCTCCTTAAGGGTATTTAACCCCCAACCTAAGAGCCTTTACACCATTGTTCTATTTGTCTGGAGTGTTCTTCCTCCATGTTGTTCAGTAAAACATTTCACTGAAGCCGCAGGAATGATATTTGTTGAAGGATCGTTTCCCCAACTAGTCATAATTGAAATTGGGTCCCCCTTCCCTGGTATTGTCTCCTGGAGAATAGTAATATATTTCCTTATGGAATTATTATAACTTATAGTAATATATTGAGAGAAAGTATGGGGAGAGTTAAAACCATAGACTTTTCTGTTGTCATGTTGGTTGCATCCTGAATCTCTTGCTATGTGACTATCGATATGTTTTTTAACCTCTCTATGCTTAAGTTTCCTTGTGGATACAATCACATTTTTCTTGTAGGTCTTCTGCTCAGAGGAAATGATTGATATGTATTGATCAATTATGTAGTAAGTTCAACATATACTAATAGAAATCACCATAAAAGTGGTCAGATATGTGTGTGGATTGTGTACATGTATGTGCATCCCACAATAATTAATGTTTGAAGACACAAAACTAGCTCCTGTCACAATTCATGGTATATAACCTGATGGGAGGAAATATTTTGCTTATTAGATTGATGAATTACAAATTACACAGTCTATAATTTTATTTCAGTGATTTTCAAGGAACAGGAATGATGGATTATATTTAGAAAATATATAATCACCTAGAAAATTGGTAATTTGGCTGTGATACACTGATCTTAATAATTATACATTTTTGATGGAGAACTATATTTAGCACCTCACCTTGTAGCATGTATATTTTTATCATTACCCTCATTTTGTAGATAGGACAATCTACACCCAAGAACATAAGGGACTTATCCACATAAACATTAATAAATGATGGGTTGGTCCCACTCAACTTAGTGTTCTGGATCATCTTATACTACACCAGTTATGCTTAATAAGATCTGTGAATACCTTCTATAGGATTGGTGAAATTCATTCCGTGTTCACTCTCAACTTTTTAATGTGTGGCTTGAATTGTTGGGACTTTTTCCTCTTGTTTTTGCTTTGTGTTGCTGCTCAGGATCCCACCACTCACAGTAGGGCCTCTCAAAGGACCTGCTTGCCCTTCACCTTGTCTTCACGCCTCCACTGTGTTCTTTACAGAACCTCTGAGTGGCATGCCCACCAGCCCCTGGCTCTCTCAGATTGTTTTCCTATTTTAAAACCATAGAAAATACCTTTGTCCCATTTCCAGGCTTCTGACCTCTCTGTTCTTGGTGTTCCACAGGCCATTTTCATGCCTGACTTTTCCATAGAGAAAGGTGAAATGCTCAGTTTCTCCATGCCATGATAGTTTTTCTGGATGCAGAAATATCTTGTTGGTTTTTACTTAACGGTTTTTTGTTGGTTTCTTTTGACGTAAGTGCACATACAATATGAGAGCTGGAGGAATTGCACATAATTCAAGTGCTAGATTTAGAATCTGGGAAAACAAGTTTCAGGATTACAGTATGAGTTGGGGGCTTGTCTTAAAATTAGTATTTGATACCTAGGGGTACCTCTATTACCAGTCTGCTTGGTTTTCTTGAAAGCTGAAGTAATGCAATGCCATTAAGAAGCATGAAACATAAATTCCACAAAAAATCATGATTGGTTTTAATTTTCTCATACATATTTAATTTTTTTTTTTTTTTGCAGTTTAACAGCAATGCCCAGGATGTAAGCTGTTTTCAGCACCTTGTCCAAGCAAATGTAAGAAATAAGAAAGTGCTGAAAGATGCCGTGAATAATATCACAGCAAAAGGAATCACAGATTATAAGAAGGGTTTTAGTTTTGCTTTTGAACAGCTGCTTAATGTAAGTATCAGTACTATTCCCTTTTCTTTCTTATTTTTGAATTGTAGACTATGAATTTCAACAACCTGATTTGTACTGATATCTACTACGGTAGATAACAGTGCTGTTTTTTATAGATCCAGAAAGCAGATATATCCAGACATTGGAAACATTTGAACTATTTTTAATTTTAAATTACAAAATGAAGCTATACAAAACACATTTTCTTTTTCTCTTGCATAGCATAATTTTGTGCAAACTATGTTCAAAAAATAATTGTAAGATAGTTAAATGATAGCTACAAAGAATAAATAAAAATAAATCATTTTATTTAAAACATTTATTTATGTATACAAGAGCTGGGGTGTAGGTTAGAGGCATGAGGGGGATAAGAAGGTTAGTCAGAGACAGAGTGGGGAGCAGAACAGATGGATTGATTGAAATATACTGCTGACGGGAGCAGCAAGTGAGACAGGAGAGGGCAGCTCGCTGGCCAGGGATCAAGCCTTTGCTACAGTGGCTGCTGGTAGCTTCATAGAGCTGAAACTTAATCCCTTGTGTCACCAGGAAGGTCAAATTAAGTAATTTTAACAAGCACCCGAAACTTAGTTGACATGTTTAGAATATCAACGTCTTTCTGTCTCAAGTGCCATAATATTTATCTGGAAACTTGTGTTTTCAGTCATCAAATGCTGTTAGAAATATTTCATTGTCACTAATCTGGTTGTTAAGATCATGCCTTTCATTTGTTATTAAATATACAGAAGGGTCCAAATAGTAGGTATTAAGTAGAGCAAGAAAGTAAGTTCTCATCTAGGAATTCCTTCCTCAGTAAACTCTCCTGGTTAAAAATTTCACTTTTATCTGCAAGAACATTGTCAGACTTCGGCATGCCTGCTGACTGCTATACTATCTACATATCATACGTGGTGGTCTAGCATTTTCAAATGACCATGGTTCTCTTTCATTTTGAACTGATTGAGAGGGGAACAGAGCTATCCCCAAGGGGCAACATCACCACAGAGGTGACAGCACAGGCCTGACCTCTCTATACTGTGGTACCCACACTTACACAGTGGACAGGGCTGTCACATTTGCAGGTGTAGCAGAGGGTTATGAAAGGATCACCATGGAACCTAACAGAAAGCAGAGGCTTGCCCTTGTACACTGTTAGGTTAGTGAGAGTCAAGGATATTTTTACTGTAACTAACAACCTCATGTCTGGTACAGAATCAGCTCATAATCCCTGTCCTATTTGCTGAGCCACTGGTGAAGCTTCTGCTCTTTTCTTCAAATCAGACTTTGTTCCTCCCTAAGTAAATTGTCTAATCAATTTTTTTAAAACAGCTGATTGATTAATTCATTCATTTGTTCATTCAGTCAGTATTTGTTGAGAACCTACAATAGCCAACCGTGTTCCTAATGCCGGAATAGCAAAAGTACATATGATCACTACTCTCAAGCAGGTCCAGCCTCACTCACTCAATCGTCATTCCCCATGCAGACCTACCCCATGCTACCGGACAATGAGAGTATTGCAGGAACATCGGGGACCAGCTTAGCCTAAGGAAGTCAAAGTAGGCATTTTCTGGAAAAACAGGAGTTTGAAGAATGAGTTGCATCCAAGTAGATTGATGAGAGATGGGGAATCCATTCAGATAACAAAGCACTTTCAATAAAAGCGAAGGACCGGGAGGTGATGAAGCACAATGACAGAATTGCAGGTGTCAGACGCTGGGACGCAGCAATACAGAGAATGGGGACGTGTCAGTTCATCATGTGTTTGGGAGCAAAATGTATAGTACCAGAATCCAGGTTTCTAATAAGTGATGTGAGGTAAGTTAGTGTAGAAACCTTGGAATGGGGATTGAATGAAGAGAGATTACATAGTATGTGTGGTAACAGAGGCTACCCTGGGGTGCAGGATTTGATAATGGTAAGTTCTCTAAAGTGGAACAACTGGTAGCCCAGGATCTAAAGACAGAGTGTGAGGATAGAAAGAGGATAGAAAGGTTCAGAGGTGTTGAGTTTGAAGAGGGAATATTTCATAGATTTGGTTAGATAAGTAAGGAGGTAGAACAGTTCCGTATTGCAGATCATAGAGAAAAGGATATTTGGTAAATGAATAGGTGTGTAGATGTATTAAGTGATGTATGTGTATCAATAAAACAGCTGTTCAAAACCTTCAATTATAATTATAAATTAATTATAAATTGAATGGACTATCAGGTTGAGAGATACTCTTCCTATTTTCATGATGTTCTCAGCTATTCCTGAAGTAAGTCTCATATATTTTCTTTCCATGTGTTCTTTGTGTCGTGCATTTCTTTATTTTGAAAAATATACTTTTCTTAAAATTTTGTTTCTGTTAATAATCAGGTTTTCTAGGACTTGGTATCTTTTTAAGATTTATTTATTTATGCATACAAGATCTGGGGTGTAGGCCAGAGGTGCAGGAGAGGGGGTGAGACAATTCACCAAAGACAGAGTGGGGAGCAGAACTGGCAGATTGATTCAACTACACTGCTGAGGGGAGCAGCGGGCCTGATAGGAAAAGTCTGCCACACCATGTGTGTCAGCTCCCTGGCCGGGGATTGACACGAGCTAGCTGCAGTGTTTGCAGATACTGCTTGTGTAGTTAAACTAAAAAAGAAAAAAAAATTCAAATTATCAAAGAAATTACTTTTAGTTGAGGGATTTCAACAACTTTCACAAAAATATCTTGATAAAATATGTAACTATGTATAGTCATATTTTCAGATAATTATCTTGAAATGTAGGAGTCATGCTTTAAATGTGGCAAACTATTTTAGCTAATATTGTGCTTTCACAATGCTTGGTTAAAAACTTGAACAGCCAGTGTTTAAATGGCCTAATCAGTGGGGTGAGATGATTTGAAACAGAATTTTTATCAGTAAAGCAAAATGTCGTCTTTGTTAACCTTTACAACAGAAAGTGGGGTTTATTTTCCTTGAGGTATAGGTAAGAGTACAGACCTACAGTTAGCTCAGATTCAGGAGAATCAGCTCAGCACGAAAATTATGGCTTGAAAATAAAAACACAGTTTTAAAGGCCAGGGTTATGGTGTTCAGGATGATAACCACAATCATTTGTGATTGTTGAACACTATGGAAATGTGTCTGGTCTGAACTGAATGTTACGTTGGTATAAAATATACACCAAAAGCTGAGACTTACTGTGAAAGAAAACTACGTATATAATCTCAGTAATTTATATTGAGTTCATGTTGAATTGATATCATTTCAGATGACTAGGTTAAATGAAATTAATTTCAGAGATTTCTTCTTTCATTAATTTGAGTGTCACAAAGTTCACAATCATTAAGTTCACTTTAATTTCATTGAACATCATCAGCTAGATGGTTGACAATTTCAAAGAAACTAAGCTTTCTCTAAATAGTGAGATTCTTTTTCCCTATACTTTCACAAACACAACAGTGGAAAGGCTGAGATTATGATTGTAGATCTCAATGAAGTCCAACATTCCATATTATTCATTTTAGTAATACTGTGGTGTTTATGTATGGCTAGTTCTATGTCTAAAAGTTTTTGGAAATATAAAAAAAAATAAGAGAGGATTTACATTGAAATTGAAACTGTCTAGGTTAGAAAATGTGTGGTAGATTGAGAGAGAATATGAGGATATTCTGGGAATAGACACTGTTATTAAAAGACATAGATAAGAGCAATGGGTATGAAGGATGAAAAAGGAAGTAAGAGCCCACCCTGGTGGCACAGACGGTTAAAGCGCTGCGCTGCAAGAGAGCTGCAGCCGCTTTGGTGAGTTTGATCCACAGCCCTGGGGGTGATCCACATGGCGGCGGCAGACCTCTCCTGCCTTACCTGCTGCTCCACCCAGCAGTGTACTTCGTCGATCTGCCTGTTCTGCTCCCCACTCTGTCTCTGGTGAAGTTTCTTGCCATCCTGTAGCTCTGGCTTGTACCCCATTTCTGTATGCATAAAAATAAATCTTAAAAAAAAAAGGAAGTAAGAAAGTAATGCTTGTAAGTGGATTAGAAATACCCGTGAAAATATTTGTAAGTCAATATTTGTTTCTATGAACTATAGGGACATAAAATTGACAATGAACATTAATTCATTTGAAGTCCGCTCATTAATCAGTTACTGAGAGGTTATTAAGTTCAGGGTACTCTTCTAGGCAACCTGGGAGGGAGATTGGAATTTAAAACACAGTGTCAAAAAGTTCTCACTTTAAAGTAACATTTAATAAAAGACCCAGTGGAACCAAAATCTGTGAATGTTTGGAGTGAGTTGTATAGGGTGGGCCTGGCCTATTCAAAAAGTGATTCTTAGGAGAGTTTTATTGAGCATCCTGTTCATGGTCTTCCATATTGCTATTCCTTATTTTTTGTTTTAAATGTTATACTTTTTTTTTTTTTTAACAGTATAATGTTTCCCGAGCCAACTGCAATAAGATCATCATGTTGTTCACGGATGGAGGAGAAGAGAGAGCTCAAGAGATATTTAACAAATACAACAAAGACAAAAAAGTGAGTGTAATTTTATAATATTTAAAGAAGTCATTCAGAGCAGCCCAGGTAGGTGCGATGAGGTCTATCTGGAAGCCTGATGAATGAGGCTGCAGATACACACGCAATTTAATGAGGTCAAAAGGTTTGAGAATGAGAACAAAATGTTCGGGCTCTTTTGCAGAATAAACTACTCTTGGGAATTAATCTGCCTGATTATAGATAGGTACAGCTTTAAAATGGAATTCATGTTAATCTCGTCACACAGCTGTTGCAAATTAAAATGCATTTACTTTCTAATCTGTACCTGAAGCAATGCCATTCCTCAGGGTTCACCCATACACACACACACACACACACACACGAGCCTTCCTTAAAATGGTGCCAAAACTAAAGTGAACTCTATCTTAGTGTCCAAACAAATGAATAAAGGAAAGTAAAACCAGACCCACAGTTGAAAGATAACTCCCAGACCTGGCAAAATTTAAGATATTTGACTTTCTGTAAAGTAGCAAAAGTAGTGGTTTGTGGAGACACACTTATAGTTGTCCTGCCAGCTAGAAAATAGTTCTTTGACTCTTAGTTTAATTCTCAGACTTAATCCAAAAGTGAAAAGGTATTCCAAATTATTGAAATTTTCAAAATAACTAGTGAATTGAATGAGAAGAATGAATGGGGGAAAGAAGCATATGATTGATGTGGAATAATTTTCAAAATAAAAGAATAAAAATGGCTTAAGTTATAAAGCTTTTTTAAGATTAAAAAAAAATGATTGACAGAATCTTTTCTGTTTTTCTGATAAATCCAAAGCACACAGAAATAGAACCTAAAGTTTTTTTTTTTGAGGTATACTTGGTCTACTTTATTGTTGATATTTTGGGTGTAGTATATCTGGAAGTACTATTAGATACAAGAATCTGACATTTTATACAAATGCCTAAATCTGTGTGTGTGTATTATAATTAGACTAAAAGTTATCCATTAGCTCTTCAATAGATATGGGGGAAATAATTGACAGAAAACAATCCATTGCTGTTTCTCATGCCTGGCTTCTCCGTTATGGTGAATTATGCCTTTGGAAGAAATTTCCAGGCATATGCTAATGAAAGGAATTTGTCCTTGTAAAATATTCTATGAGATAGAGCATGTTTAGGATGGAATAGCTGCAGCCTTATTCAATACCATTCAATAGTGCACTAGTGAAATGTTTCATTCAAGTAATTGGTATTTTCAACAGTTTCCAGATGATTTTCAGCTTTAGAATCTATACCTTTGTTCATAAAAATCAAATATATTACTTTTGCTGGGATATTGACAAAGATGATAATGCTTGTGTAGCCTTGGCCATGTTCATAGTGAGATTTAAAAGGTGTGGTTTGTTTGTGTATGTGTCTGGGCTTACATTCTCTTTTCTGATGGCTATTTATAGTTCTTTCTTTTAAAAATAAAATTAATATTGATGACTCTAAGGAAAATCTTACCATACAAATTCTTTTGAGGTTTGAGTTATAGTATGCCCATACATGTTACACAGTCTTTAGTTTAATAAATAAAACAGTTCTAATGAGAATGAGGTAAAACCCATATATGTAACTCAACATCAATCTCAGAGTGTAGAAACATGCCCTGGAATCTTTTTATGTAGCATTGTTTCACCTAGCACTGGGAAGGCCCGCTGTCTTACATGAAGAGCACAGAAAAGGGGCTCTGTTCTCGTCTTTCATGTGGCGGCTGCCTTTTCTGATATGAAGCCTGCTGCGATCTACTTCTGCGGAGGTGGTTTCCTCACACAGTCTTTACGGAGTTGTCAGTACCTCATCCCCAGACCCGCTTTATCATTTTCTAGTTCTGTATCTTCTTTCTCTGAGTTTAACCATTTTTTTATGTTAGGTGTTTCTATTCACTTTTTGACTAATCCCTTTATAAAAAGTTCCATGAAGCCAGAGTTGTGTTGGTTTGTAAAGCTGCCAGAGTCCTTAGAGGCCCAGTGATGCACAGTGGTTGCTAAATACTTGCTAACATGTCCAATAGATCGGTAAAAATGGCACAAATGTGCTCCTAAGTTTAACTATCAGAAATTTGTAAACATTAGGAAAACTCAGTAGCTTTGTATTTCTTTAAAAAAATTTAAACACTTACCCCCCCATTGTATTTGGAATATAGAGGGAAATTAATGTTCCTAAATTGCATATCAACTTGAAAGTTAGGAGACTGAAGTTTGCCTAAAAAACAATTGTATTAATGGCAACTTTCATTCACCCTCATCAACCCAACACATTGGTTTTCATGGATATCCTCATGAGTAGTGTCAGTGAAGGATTTAGCATTACCAGGAAAAGCCTTGTAAAACCATTGGCATATAGCTTATTTTCTGACCTCTCAGAGGACTGTAGTCTTCACAGGCTTGGAGATTGGCTGCACACGCATTGTGCCTATCACTTCTTCCTTCTTTATCAAATCCTACCAACACACGCAGAGGGAAGGAGAACCCTCAGTTACTTTGTTATAATGAAAAGGTGACTAATTCCAAAAATGCATGCCTGTGTTACATTCCCTCCCACATGTAAGACACGTAAGAGAAAGATCAGCGCCGTTCTTTAAGACCATGCATAACAAGACCTGCATGACCCTGCACTTTATTTTCCTTTTGAAAGTTATGTGTGCTTACTTGAATCAATTCATCAGTCACTGGTTAATTGTTGCCTGAGTCACCAGGGAAGTCTTCTAATCCCTTCTCGTATGTACACAAGGGCCAGTGTACAGTATTGACCCCACTCCCTTAGAGCCTATTAGAAATGGAATAATGCAAGTCAAAATGGTTACTGAACAGGGCGTTATTTTGAATTAAGTTCTTTTTGAGACACGAGAGATTAGCATTGTACTAGTGGAAAGTGTTACCTCAGTGAAACCTGGCAGGCTACAGAAGGTGCTTATAACCATTATTGTCATCATCATCTTCATAGTCATAGCAGATAATTATTAGGCTTCTATTGGCCATGCACGTTAAAATTTTTACATGTATCATTTCAGGCCCAACTGGACTAATCATACAATTGAAGCATTCATCGCCATCACTCCTGATTGGAAATAAGAAAAACAAATGGAGAAAAATAACACGTTAAAAGTCATTCAGATAATAAGTGACAGAGTCAAAATACAAATGCTCCACAGTCCAAATTTCATTACCTATGTGGAATGCCCTGGTGGGTTGTCCATCTCTGTCTTCCCCCTGGGCTGCCCTGAAGTGGTGCCAATTGTGTGCTGCCTGTCCAGAAGCTTCCTTCTCAGGCAGTGAGACTTAACTGCAAAGGGACATGGCTTCCCACTACTTTACAAGCTAAAGAGGACTAAAACCATCAAAACTGTGTAGATAGCAAGTATCTCTCAGATCTTGAGGTTTTATGCAATGAATCATGAAAGGTGATTGTTGACACGTTATTTCATAATGCTGCAAAAGTAGAGATCCAGGTTATGCAAACATTCCAGATTCTGGTATATATTTGAATTATGGAAACCATGTAGAATTTTCTCCTAAAATATTCACTCTAATCTAGTATTATTATAGGCTTAATGCCAAAAATTTTAGTATACATAGTAAATTATTAAAAGGGTTTCTGACATCATTTTTTCTAACATGTTTCGATAGCAAGTTTTTATTTCAGTTTTATTGGCTTTCTTGCTTCATAGTCTCATTTCCATTAATCCTTGGAGATTTGCCTATTGCAAATTAAACTTGAACTCTGGATAACTGATAATTGTTGAGGTGACAGTTTCCAGTAACTGAGTTCTGCTGGGAAACAAGAAATTCCTATGGTTTTTTAAAATAGGTTGACCCTGTGGCTTTGGAAAAATCTTAATTGAAGACAAGTATTTTAGTCTTCAACAAACAAAACAAAACAAAATAGAAAGATTAGCAGAAGAAGTTCAGAGCTGTAGGATATAGTTGTAAACCAGTGGTGTACTATGAGGAGAAAATCAGTAAAACATTTTAAATAAACAAATTTGCTGTTAAATTTTCTTTCATCAAATAGGTCAGGGTTGACATAGCAATTTAGATTATTGGAATCACAGTGTTCTGTTTAGAGAAAATTGTCTTTTGAAATAAGTGAAGGCAAATTATATGTGTGTATGTGTTATATATATATATATATAAAATAATCTCCCACTAAGAATAAACTGACATTTAATTGTCTTAAATTTAAATTTATTAGTTATTCTCATAAATTACTATTGCTGTTGTGAACATGTTCATTTAACTAAGCATGGGTCAGGAATTCAGAGAATTTTTTTTTTATTCTGCAAGAATAATGCAGTATATATAAATACTATAAGTCTAATAAGTATCCTTTATATCTGCTAGAAGTTTTACTCTATTATGCAAATATGCATGACATAAAATAAAAAATATTAGGAATTTGCTGTGCCAGAATTATGATGGATCTGTCCAAATAATGAAATGTAAGGTAGCTTTGATGCTACACATTCTTCTCATTGAATAAATCATTCCATTTTGGCATTAGGCACTACAATACTTGAGATAAATATAACAGTGTAGGCTGGTATTGTTTAATTCGGCCCATGGTATATTCAGTACTACATGGCCATGCTATTTCTATTGAAGATCTGGTGCCTGCATAATGAAGAATAGTTTCAATTCCATCTCTTGGTATATATGGCTCATATGTGCCTGTTCTAGGTGAACATTTTGAAGTATGTACTAAACGTACATACTTGCATAGCTAAAACTACACAACTTGTGTGAGGTTGTAAATTGATTTTTAATTTGTGCATACTTCCAGAAATCACTTTACTTTTCCTCTACTCCCAATTATAGCTAAACGGGAATTATAAATCTTAAGAAGTGGAAAATGAGAACAGTGGAGGGGTAGTAATCATGTCAGGATTTGGATATTTGGAACTTTAGAGTTAGTTCATTAGTTATGCCACAGGGTGGCAGTACTATAGTATACTATAGAGGAATATGGCTAGTGTACACTTTAAAGTGGGAAGTTGATGTGCGAAAATAATCTTTAAAATTGTATTATTTATGTACATGTACCAAATAGTATGTATGGTGCATGTTTATGAAATAAAGTGTTTACAATTCTTTATAATTAGCTAAAATATTGTAAAGTAAAGCCAAATTCAACATGAAACTGGAACCAAAATAAGTTCTACTTTGATTTTTAATTATTATGAGAAAAAAATTTTAAATTTTGCTAGTTTATATTAAATTTTTTATTAACCAGATGTAAACATATGAGTTCATTTTAGAATACTCTAAAAATTTTAAAATCATTAAATATATATTCATGTATTTATTTAATTATATCCACTTTAGGTGTAGTGAAAATTTTTTTTTATTTTTAAGATTTATTTATCTATGCATGCAGAACTGGGGTACAGGCCAGAGGTGCAGGGGCAGTGAAAGGATTCACCAGAGACAGAGTGGGGAGCAGAACAGGCAGATGGTAGAAGTACACTGCTGAGGGGAGCAGCGGGCGGGTCAGGAGAGGTCTGCCACGCCATGTGGATCACCTCCGGGCAGGCGGGGATCGAACTCATGCTGAAGTGCCTTTTTTGCTTTTCAGTGCTGTGCTTTAACCCACTGTGCCACCAGGGAGAGCCCCAGAGTGGAAAGATTTTATGAAGCTTGTGATAAGGCAGTTGTATAAAACTACAATGTGGCAGAATACATATGTCACCACCTGTGATCCTGAATTCCTTAGTTTGGATGCCCTCTGAGAGGTTCCCCAGACCACAGGGTTAGGTCAAACTTTTGTACAGAAACAATTAGCAAACATTTTCTTAATAGTGCAGTTACTTGACTGAGCTAAGTGTTTATTTGGACTACCTTAAGGACATCACTCAAAATAATCATTCAGTGTACATCTAAGTGTAGGCTATTTTTAATTTTTTTAGAAATACCTGCCTTTAAATAGATATGGATATAACTCATTTATTCTCACTTGGTCCTTTTTTACCGAGAAGCATTTTTGGAAAAGTATTTTGCTAGAACATTATTGTGGCAGCAAGACGAACTAGACAAAACAGTGCTTTAAACTGAAAATTTGAGACATGTTCTCAAGTGTTAACTGTGAAAGGGTGATTCCCAAATGCTTTCTGGAGCATCTGGAGTATTTCTTTGTCCCGAATTCATGTCTGTTGTTTAAGGTACGGCAGTTTAATTGAATTATCAGTGTGGTCAACCTGCTTTTAAAAATATTTCCAGAAAGGAGTAGTAAGTTCAACTATGTCAGGAGTAACATTACTTCAAATTATATAGACAGCCCTCGAAATGACCCAATTGTAGAATGAAAGTAAATGAAATGGCTGTATTTTGAGGGAGAGAGAAAGAGTGAGTCACCTAGAAGCAGGCATTTGCCCTTGCCATTTGAGGTGATTAAAGCTCAGATGTGTTCACCAAATGCTTCAATGTAACTAGCTAAGTAAACCTGCACACGAGTCGCTCACATAAAACTTTACAAGTGAAACAGCAACATCCTCAATGTACATTTTGGGGTAGAGATTGTTATGATGTGATCTCTGTGTGGCCAGACCAGTGAAAGGACAGAGAACAGATGTGAAAGCCCTTTTGAGGTTTGTGCTCTGGAATCTTGTGCAAAAGTTGAAACAGGCGAAACAATTAGAACATGTCAATTCAAACAGTCAATCGACATGAATTAGGGAAAAGCTCTTAACATAGTTCAAACCAGAACATGAATTTATGGCAGAGTGAGTTTCTGCATGTTTATCTTTAGAAATAGCTAAAATGTTGAAGTTAGAATACTGGTTTACTGAGATTACAAAGTCAATTAAAATCAGTACCTGTTGAACCGTTATTTCATGGAATATTTGTTGACATCATTGAATGAATCCCTTACACATTCATACTATTCAAATTCAGTGACTTCTTATATTTAAGTTACTACAATTTAAAACTCTTGAGTTTTAAAATATTTTTATATTTTAAGTGAACTTGTTAGAAACAGTTGGTATTTAAACTCCCTCTTAAAACCTTAGAAACTTTAAAATACTTACTTATAAATGTGATATCTTTTATAGAAGGGTACTACAAATAACATCATAATCATGTCTATATCCTAAAAATTTCCATGATCCATGATTTGAAAATAGTGAAACCATTTCTGTATTTAAATGCCATAAATGAAAATAAGGCATAACGACCTCCTTTCTCTATATTTATAACCACATACGTATGAAACAGGGAAACTTCTTTTTTTGCATAGTGTGGATTATGTTTTAATCAGATGAGATAGGTAAAATTGGGTTGGATCACAATGCCAGCTGTACTCATGACAGCCTCCTGATCCTGCCATAGGATGGTGATAGTGTGCAGGGCACCCAAGTGCTAATTGACACTTAGTGACTGAAATCTGTGATGAGAATAGATTATGTTTCCCTCTGGTGCTTTCCTGAATATCATACTAGGCTCCATTTTTCTTGTCTCATTAATCAATGTTTTTTTCACTCTGTTTTGCCCTTTAATTTTAATTTTCTGCTTTTCTTTTACCAGGTACGTGTATTCACATTTTCAGTTGGTCAGCATAATTATGACAGAGGACCCATTCAGTGGATGGCCTGTGAAAACAAAGGTAGCAGATCTGATTTCTTGACCACATTTTATTAGAAGAGAAGTAATTTGATAGTTGTTATTGTACATATTATTTAACCTCAAGTTGCGGCTAATTTTTGTAGAAATCAAATAAGATGTTGGAGTTTTTTTTTTTTACAGAGAAAACTCAGAAACACAACAAACTTTGACATTGGTAGTACATTTTATAAAAATGCAGACATGTGATGATACTGTTGTACATTTGAAAGAGATATATGTTACTTAATGATACATAAAGCTATGTATCAAATATAAGCTGACATGAAGTTTTACATAAATTAAATATTTGAATTTTGTGTAACAGGTATGAAAGTGTGACATAGGTACATTTTTCTAAGGGAATGACTTACTATTTTTCAAATATCTTATATATTTTTCAGCCATGCAATTTTTTTTTTGTAGTGAAACTGCATTTACTTTGTACTTGGCAGGGGTGGGGGAAGGAAAAAAGATGCTATTTGAAAATTTATACTGTATGCTTCACGTAAGCAAATATTATACCTAAATATATTAAGTATCAGGTGCCATGATTAAGTGATTCTTGAAAAGAATAATTTTAATGACCCCAGATTCCTTAGTGCTTTACAGTAAGATACATCTAAAACAAATAGCAGTACTTCTCCTAAAGCTGTGCTTTTGTTCTCAATATTGATTATTTGTTGACAAGATTGTTGTCAATAATCAGTAAGTCACCGAGCCCTAAATAGGTTAGATTAACATTTTAACAATTTATCAGTGATGTCAATTTTTTAATGTTTACTGAATTAGAATAAAAGTTCTGTTTTCTATCAAAATCATAAAATAATGTGTGGGCCTCCATCATAATAATTATATACAAATAAATATGTGTGTGTATATATTTCAGGTTATTATTATGAAATTCCTTCCATTGGCGCTATAAGAATCAACACTCAGGTATGGCTGTTTAAAACTCATGGAAATTATTTTAAAAAACATAACAAATTTCTGCTTCAGATATGCTCAATATGGAGAAAAGGGATTAAAATGAAAAATGATCCATAATGTTATCTTTGTGACAGACTGATGAGTACCATGCAGTGTATTGGGTTTACTTCATTAAGGTTTCAAGTGTTTACAAACACCCAGATCTCAGGTAAAAAAATGAGTATTTTGTTTTTTCTCAGATGTTAAATAAAATAAAATGTATTGACAATCTCATATCATTTAATTTAATTTGTCCTTGGTTGTATTGCAAATCATCTCAATGAGCTTCTTTATGGTACATCATGGAAAATTAAAAATTATATATGGGCTATTATATTATGGACTGGTCACAATTTAAATATAAATCACCCTTGTAGATCTATTTACCTGTTTAAAATACAATTACAAAAAGAAGTACTTTGTAACAAGTCAGTAGAAAACATGCCTGAGTTGAATTCATTAAATGGATATTTTTTTAATATTCATAAATCATGTTTTAAAAATCATTACTCAATTTGAAACATCACTGAGGATCCACAAAATAGACTAAGTCAAAATTTAGCATGAATAACTTGGCATTTGTGGAAATGAATACTGAATATGTTGAATGTTGAAATGAAACAGCAGCTGTATTTGAGTCTGATGTCTAGAATTGGCACAGTATTTCATTTATTTTTTGATATGTTTAAATGTAGTTTTGAGTTTCAGCCAAAAATCTGTGATATGAAAGCAAGTATGTGGCTGCTTTATTATTTCAAATTTGTGCAATTCCATCCACTAAATCACAGAGCCCTAAATAGTTTAGATTAACATAAAACAATTCACAAGGAACGTATTTCACTTATCACTGACTGTACCTCAGAAAAAGAACATTTTGATAGTTTCTAGAAGAAAACTGGAGTAGATATATTCTATAAATAATATAAGTCAAATATTGTTGATTCAAAGAATGTAGACATATCATTTATGTAGTCCCAAAGTAGGAATTAAATGACTGTATACTTATGCTCTTCATAATTTTGATTCCATGCTCATTTTTCATATTTAGATGATTTTTTCATCTGTGATGTGAAAATATTTTTTCTTTATACGACAGTTTTGGTTTTCAAGCATTTACTTTTCTTTCTTTCTTTTTTTTTTAATAGGAATATCTGGATGTTCTGGGCAGACCAATGGTTTTAGCAGGAGACAAGGCTAAGCAAGTTCAGTGGACAAATGTGTACCTGGATGCTCTGGTAAGAAGTTGCCTGTTCAGTCAGAGCCTCATTACAAAGCAAATGGCTAACTTCTAGTTTTCTCTCTGCATAACACTTACTCATTTAACTCTTTCTGAAGTTGTGTCTATTACATCCTTTTTGCTGGAGTTAAGGCCATTTACCACAAAATCCTACATTTGTGTGTAGGAGAGCACTATACATGTAAATTGTTATTTTCTAGTTGATCTAGTGAGAATGTAGAATTGCCAACCTAGAAGTTTGGATTTGTAGCATTTAAATAAATTATTGGCCTTTTGTATAAGAAATGTTGAAAAGTCATGTGAATTAGCATTTAGTCCTACAGATTTTGCGCCTGAATGTTGAAGAAAATATTTTAAATGTAGATTTCCACTAGCCAAAGAATGGCTAGCTTCCGTAACCAAGATAGACTACCAAAACTCCGAAGTATGTGCATCTAGATATGCAAAATCTTACTGTAATCTGAAATTACCACAAAACTAGTCACTTCTTCATTAATAATATCTTGGTTTTGATTTGACCCTAGGTGGTTATGAAAAATAACTATGAACAAATTCAAATAACATGTGAGAATGAGCATAGTACAAATGAAATTTTGGTTTGGTATTCAACTATATTTGAAAGCAGTGGTTCTCAGTTGGGTAAATTTGTTAGCCAGAGGTTATCTGGAAATCTTGAGAGATATATTGAATTGTCAGCCGGGGAGCAGTTGCTACCGACACTGGATGGATAGAGAACAAGGATGCTGTGGAACATCTTACAATAGAAACCCTTTCCCCCATTCAACAAGTAATTACCCAGGTCAAATGGCAATAGGACTGAAGTAGACAAATCTTGTCTAATGTGATTGTTTTCTTCGTGAATTTTAAAGTTATAGATAGTAATTATACTTAAAATTTCTCAAATGGTTAATTCTCATGAGATGACTTTATTAATGATTTTACTAAAATACTTTATTGGAGAGAATCAAAATACTAAGCCCAAAAATCAAATGTTGATTCAGTAACCATTTTTCCTACTTGGAGTTCAATTTTATGCTGATAGTACTTTTTTGAGTGCAATGATGAACCCAAAGGGCAAAATGCAATCCATTTAGAATTACTTATCATTGGTTCTTGTAAAATAAACATATACAGGAAGCGAGAAGAAAAATAGGACTATTAGTAGCAGCCTTGCACGCTAAGAAAGATAAAGTGAAGCTTGCTTACCTCAAGCACTAGCTAAAATTACTGTCAAGGGTTACTTCTTGACATCACATATTTATTTAAGGTTACATGGTCACCCAAAGTTGTGTTCGAAATGTTTCGCTTTTCCAAATCCATCGCAGGGCAGAGTATGATAGGAGTAGTCAATAATTATGTCCTGATGTCTGCTATGACCAGAAGTTCATTAGCCAGCATGTCTGTCTTGTTGGTAAGTTTCTTACTGGTAGTATAAATAGCATGATGAAGAAACTTTGGCTATAAATATACTGTTTTCTAAGCTGACAGTAAGTGTAAAAAAAGACAAAAATGTAAATTATGTGAATTTCCTACTCAGTAGATAAAGAGCATTAATTTTCCTTAATTAGTTCACCTGGTATTTCCAATATAGTAAAAATGAGGCACACAGCAGATTCAACATATGTACTAGTCAAATTACAGATTTATTAAGAAGGAAAGGTTGAAAAATTTCCAGGAAAGAATGTAATTAATAGAATGATAAAAATGAATAGTGCTGGAAATTCATGAGGAAAAAAAAATCCTGTATTTGGGGATAGAGTAGGGTAAGGGTAAAAAGATAGTGAGCTTTTAGCTGAATGTATGAGTGCATTACGGTTTCTGCAATTGGTGATGGAAAATAGTATCCACTCAAAGGAGGGGTAGTTATAGAAGCTGAGCAAATGTTGTAGGAATGATAGTTAAGACACTTTTAGAAGTAATGGGAGACAACAACAGAAATGAGAGTAAGATAATAATATGAATATTAATAATTATATATAACTATGTGCTTCACAATGTTTATGACATATACATTGCAGACAATTCAGCAAAATAAAGTGTTTATAAAAAATAGTGGACACTAATAACTGAAGTGATGTTTCTGAGGTTAAGAGGAACAGTGAAGGGGAAAAAAGTCAAAGAATGATGGTGGGGAAAAAAAAGTTGCTTAGCATTCTGTAAAAAAAGCACTAGCTTACAATTAAAAAAATTAAAAATTAAATATCAATATGAAAGGTTGCATTGATTCTAAAGATTAATTTGAGGATAACTAACATCTTAACAATTATGGGTGCTCCAATCCATAAATATGGTACATGTTTTTATTTACTTAGAGCTTTGATTTTTATCATTTTTAAAGGAAGTTTTTGACATCTTTTGTTAAATGTATTCTCTCATTATGCTATTTTCAAATGCTATTTGAAAAACCATTTTTATTTTCTAATAGTTCATTGCCAATTTATTGATACACAGTAGGTTTATTAATACCACTTCTCTGCTAAATTGATAAAGTATAGCACTTTTTTTAGTATACTCTCTAAGATTTTCTATGGTAGTAATCATGCACTTAAGGAAATAATGTAAATAGGTTCTATTTTAGATCAAAAGTAAAATACTTCATCATGAAGAGAAATGAAAGGACTCAGGCACTAGGAAAATATCCAGTTCTCAGCACACAGAAATTACATTTATTAATCTATTAGTGCTCTAGTAATTTGTATAGTTCCTAGTAATAAAGTAGGTTTTGTTTTTTTTGTCTGCTTACTAAAAAGGAGAACGTAGAATCTGGGCACCAATGGGTTTCTTCATTTTTTTTGTAATATGCTTGAAGTCTAGTATTTCATTTTAGCACACTTATTACCATATTTGGAAGCAAATTATGTATTTCTGTATAAACACAAAAGTGATGCAAAGAAAAAGATAGCACTCATACGTAGCTTTTTGTGTACCATGATAACCTTTTTAAAATTATGCAGTCATAATTTTTCAAAATGTCCCTAGAATGTTTCTTTACTGAATTATATTGGGGATAGCAGTTTTAGGAAATTTTTATTGTGACTATTTTTGTACATATTTAATGAAGGATGTTCTCATCGGCACTGTCCTTGCTTAGTACTAAGTAGAGAGCCAATATATTTAGACTCATGTAACCATGTATATTTGTTTACTTAATTTTTTGTCCCAAGTGACTTGGTATCTTGTTTTGTTGAAAGTTTCTCTGATTGTCTTCCCTCAATAATGCAGTTCCCATTGTTTTGGTGTTCCCCAGGCACAATTATAAATCATAGTCTGTTATAAATCATAGCAAGTTCTCCGTGAGAACTTGCTGTTTCCGAAATCAGAGCAAGGGTCATGAGATTTGGATTTGGAGTCATTATTCACACAAAAATATTACTGACTTTCTCAGTTTAGTAAATTCAAAATGTTTGATATTTTTTAAAGTGTTTAAAGAGTGGTTTTGTTGAAAATGTTTTTAACACAAAGCAGTGGTAAATATGTAATTGAGGCACAAAGCAGTCATTTAAAAAGCAATTTCTAACTTATAATCAATTCAATTCAGTTAACCTTGATAGATGTGTTGAATATTGGAAATTACATGCTGATTAGTGGGATACCATTATCTTTGTTATGGTAAACTGCTTCATGACTAAACTTATCGTAATTCTACATCAATTTCTATGTAAAAAAAAGTTATATTTTTATTAGAAGTATTGTAAAGCAATGTCATTTCTTTTGAGCAGTTTAATATTTACCTAGAACATCCCAGAAACCTTCTGCCAATGGCATGTTTCTTTGTTATGTTGCATCCATTTATGAGTTAGCATGACGCCTTTGGTTTAAGACATGAAAAAATGAAACTACAATAGAGGAAGATAAACAATTTGGAAGATATTTTACTACACTGTGTTTATAAAGTCCCTGATATTAGGCAGATCTACATTGTGTATAAAAGCTGAAGAGGAAGGTTATTGGAATATATAGGGCAATTTAACGTAAAGTTTTTTTTTTTAAGGTCTTCAAATGTTCTTATAGCTATTGCATATTTCTTAAATTGCCAAATACTTCCTGATTATTAATAAAATGTTTTCATTGATTTTTTAAAAATAAGCTTTTAAAATCACTTTTTGGGGGGGGGGCTCTTTATAAAGTGAGTTTAAATGCAGTGTCAGATATCAAAGGTTACTTAATAGACTATGACAAACCTTAAATTTTAATTTGCCTTTCTCTCTGAATCTATTTTAGGAACTTGGACTTGTCATTACTGGAACTCTTCCGGTCTTCAACATAACTGGCCAAGTTGAAAATAAGACAAAGGTTAAAAGTTAATTGATAAAATTAATAATAATAAATGATAAACTATGACGCTGTAGCCCAATGTAGATAAGATATTTCTATAAGGAAACGTGTACAATCTAACTGTCCTGTGAGGCCAGAGCTAAAATGCAACAGCTGCTTATTTGATAACCACCTGGGAAAAAGGAAATACAAGTCAAGTTCTGTGTTCCTTACAGCCAAGACTCATCTTAACTCTCACTATGAGCTGATGAGAACACAAATTCAGACTCTAGAGCAATTACATGAGAAATGGACGGTATTTTTGTGTACACATTTTTAAAGGCATCTGAAAGATCCGTGAGATTTAAAAAGGAAAATCCAAAGGACAAAGCCATAGGTATTAGTTGTAATGCAAATACTCATAACAGTTCATATTCCTGCCTAACTTGAGGGCAGTTTATTTCTAGTCTATGGTCTGGTGAAGTCAATTGCAGTTAAGGGTTACTTATTCAGTGGTTGTAAATTTCAGGTGCACTCCTTATTTTAATGATGTGCTCACATAATATATTGGTTATTTCTCTTTGGGTCTCATTGCCGTATTTCACTATTTGGGGGCTGTAAACATTGTAACTCATAAGGCAGCAGTTCTATGACACCTCCAAAAGATCATCTTCAGGAGTTGCTTAATGACTGAGCATTTGCTCACACTATGATTGGTTCACGGGGGATAAATAAAGCTTAGTTCTTGACACAACTTTCTCACTCTGTGCACGTACACAGTTTAATGTGTTTTTATAATAGTTATTGACTGATTTTAGGATTCTAATTGTGATATGTCTATTATTTTAGAAATAATATAATTCTTTTTAAAAATTCAAATTAAAAAGTCCTGACTAGTTTTCAACATTAGTCCCATCTTCATGTCCCGTAGGAATTAGTGACAAATGACAATTTACCACTTAGCCTCCTTACAATTGAAATGACAATGTTCTGTTGCAGCGACATCGGAAACATTGTTTTGTGGATTTCTGCTACTATATTAACCATAGTCACATACTTGTCAGGATTAGTTACTCATATGTAGGTATTATCCTCAGCAAAAAAAAAACAAACAAATTGCTGTTTCTTATTCCCTATTGCTCAATGAGCTAAAGGCAGACATTTTGGAGACTCTCTGTAAGCCACAAAGTGAGTCTACACATAGAGCTGAAACTTCTGGCTGTCCAGTAGTAATTCTAGGGGTTGTACAGGATGTGTCACGATGTCACAAAAAATGTTTTTGATGTAGTTTTCATATTTGGTTAAGTAATCAAGATTTAATTTTTAAGCTAAATTATAAGGAGGATAAAGTTGTAGGAAAAAAAAAAAACTGTGACTCATTGTAAAATGACAGAGTCCCTCACCTTTATATATACAGTTAAGCTACTATGGAATATAATATTTGGGTAATATACAAATGAGTATACTTAATAATTATGTAGAAATATATAACTCATTAATATAAAGTATATTGACTTTTTGTCATCTTACAGAACCAACTGATTCTTGGTGTGATGGGAGTTGATGTGTCACTGGAAGATATTAAAAGACTGACACCACGTTTTACAGTAAGATGCAATTTACTCTTTGGGTATTTTACCATCTTAAAACTGCGTATTTACTTAGCTTCTCACTAAAGCACCTAAGTAAATCTCAAAAGTTACATGCAGTTACCAACCAAAGAGGATCTGTTCTTAAATGTGAAAAAAGGATCTTTGAAGTAAAAGACTAAGAAATCGTGTTTATTTTCTTTATAGTCTAAAATGTATGTTTAATGTATTTTTTAGGGATATGGAATTCTGATTGTGACCCAAGAATACTCTAAGTTTTTTGTTGTTGTTGTTATTTTTTTTTTTCAGCTGTGTCCCAATGGCTATTACTTTGCAATTGATCCTAATGGTTATGTTTTGTTGCATCCAAATCTTCAGCCAAAGGTAGGTATATAAGTTGTTTATAGTGATTAGTGTTCTGAAAAATTGATAATGGTCTTAATAGTTTATTTTTTAAATTAATGATACAACATTAAACATAAAGGGACTTTATATCAGTAACATGTGATCCATGACTAGTTCAGTTTATAAAGTATAAGAATGTGAGTGTGAGTTTTCAGTTGATTTTATCAATTATAGGCAATATTCATACCTAGTATTTAGCTAAATAGTATCCCTATTTCAAGATAGCCATTATTACTTCCTTTGTCTGAGTCTCTCATATTTTACTTGGAACTTTGGATAAGGATGTAAGGGAGTGAGAGTTTGCCCTACATGGAACTGATTCTGATGTATTTTTTTTCCCCTATGCACAGGCCATATTTTCACCACCTTTATCCTGGTAGTTATCCATTCCTTCCAACACAGTATCTAACTTGTTATTATTAGGCAGACATATAAGGATATGTATGAAATTCAATAAAAGTGCATAAGATAGGGCTCAGAAATAGGAAGTGTTTATTCACCAGTGAGTTAATCTGGAAGTCATAAAATTTCATAGATGAACCACTTTACCCTAATCTTTATGCCTATTTTCCCAAGATGAAAAATATTTCCCTTAGTATCTCATCTTACTCTTTTTACTTTTATTAAAGCTTCACAGGTACTATGAAATTTATTTATCTAGTAATAAAAATTGGCAAAATCTGGCCCTCCCTGGTGGCACAGCGGGTTAAAGCACTGCACTAAGAAGCTTAAGCCACTTCCTCATGAGTTCGATCCCCGCCTGCCCCGGAGGTGACCCACATGGCGTGGCAAGACCTCTCCTGACCTGCCCGCTACTCCCCTCAGCAGTGTACTTCGTTGATCTGTCTGTTCTGCTCCCCACTCTGTCCCTGGTGAATCCTCTCACCTTCCCCATCTCTGGCCTGTACCCCAGTTCTGTATGAATAAATAAATCTTTAAAAAAAAAATTTAAAAAAATGGCAAAATCTGATTTTAATTTTAAGCATCTTAAAGCTTCAAGTTATTGTTTAACTTTGAAGCTAATGATCTATTTTAAACCATGGTTGAGGAAATACATGCAGATTGATTGAGCATATATCCTCCTAACCTCATTCCCATCACTGACCTTTAAGGTAATGATACGTGAAGAGACACAACTATGTGTGTGCACTCTCTATGTCTCGATCTCATGGCTTTCTTTTATTAGGCCTCTTCTAGCAGGTTCCTATTTCAGCTTAAATAATAGGAAGGGAGTTCCTAGTAGTGCATCTCCACGGCCACATCATTTCGTTACTCAATTTATCCGTCCTCTCTCATCTTTCTTCCTTCTCTCTGTGTCACACACATTGAGTCATTTAAATATTTTCCAAGTTAATAATAATTAAGAACCAGCAATATTGAATGCAAAACATACGCTCTATAATTAATGCACATTATAATTGATATTTTGAAACTTATTTTTAATAAAGTCAATACTGATGTAATTATTTGCTAATAAAATGTCAAAGGCAGTTATTCATCATGCATTATTTTTAGAGGTATTTTTATAAACATGGCACAGGCTGTTATTCACATTATAATTAGCCTAACAAGTTAAAAACATGTCATATCACATTTCTCTTAGCAGAGTTGTTTATGATTGACAGGTCACCTATAAGTTTTATAGTACCTTAAATTTTATTTAAGTATTTTTAATGTGTTTTAAAATTTATAGTATTTGTGGACTGTGTATATCCAGGAAAGTGTAGTCTCACGATTTGGGTTATTTATTTTTAAAGGTTTATTTATTTAAGCATACAAAACTGGGTGTAGGCTAGAGGTGCAGGGGAGGTGAAAGGGTTTACCAAATAGAGTGAGGAGCAGAACGGCAGATTGACATAGTACACTGCTGAGGGGAGCAGCGGGAGAGACAGGAGAGATCTGCTGGATCATATGGATCACCTTTGGGGTGGGGGATTGAACTGGCATTGAAGCGGCTGCAGCTCGCTTGCAGTGCTGTGTCCTGAACTGTGTGCCACCAGGGAGGGCTGATTAGAATTATTTAAAAGCAATAATATTCAGTACCCTGAAGATGGTGAAGGATCTTTATTTTTATATAGCTGAATATTTGTTTGTTGTAGGTGTTAGCCCCTTTACCCAAAGTATCTAAAATATATAATTTACAAAATAGTAAGAAAAGATACTGAAAAGAAGATACATATGATATAACTTCACTATCTAGAGATTATACTTTGAAAGAAGCTTCACCCTTTTTTACATTCTCTTAGTAAACATTATTTATGTGGAAAGTAATCTATGTCTGTTGGATTAACATGTTTTTGGCTTATAATTAGAGTAAGTTACTGAAATTCATGAATTTCTAAAAAATTATATTGTAATGCATTAAAACTTAGGTGATTTTCATAATATGCTAGATGTTTAAAATTTTAAATAGAATTTTATTGAAAGGAAGTAGGCAAAAGAAAGACATCAGAAAACATTAAAATGTCCAGCAAGCAATGTATTCCGTTTTTCTGAAATTCATATTTGTGAATGAAATAAGCTTATGAGTAGTCATGAAGTGACTTGACATTATGACTTTTGGTTTTTGGGAAATGGTGTGTGCTATGCAGACACCACAATCACAAAAAGACGATGCAATGTTTGTTCATAAAGGCAAGGGGCAGATATGGTAACAGCTAGTGGATGGGTGAATTTACTCTTAATTCTTTCATCAGAAATTCACTAATGGATGTAATGTCAAATAATGCTAATCCATAGCTCTTAGTGATGATTATCAAGGTGAAAGGTTTTTGTTACTTGGGTGTTCTTTGCTGAATGCCTGGGGTTCCTAAACTGTATTTTTTTTTCCTCTTGTTTATGTTTATTGAGGTAAGATTGATGTAAAAACTAAGTTCACATTTCTAGAAATGTCTGTTCAGAAACACAGCCACCAGAACCCTCGTGGTCTTTCTTTCTGGTCCATGTGCACCTCCCACTTTGTGTTCTCCTGCACCATCCCATTCTATCCATTTCCACATTTATGTAGTTTGTGGAAGGCAGAACAAGTATTCTTTACGAAGTACAGAAAGGCAGGAATAGAGACTCTAGAAATGTTTTGCCTATGGAAGTTTCTAAAGAACAATACTTATTTTCTCAAAAAAGCTACCTCTGCCTTGACAACATTTAAGAAATGTTGAGTCACTTACTCCATTGTGATCCAAGATGCATTTTAAATGTCTGTATAGTAGATGTCACTGAAGTAACCTGATTAAGTTAATTTGCTAGATTTCTCCTTTTGACCGATGTTAAGACATATTTAAGGTGCATAAAATGGTGCATAATCTACATTTTAAAACTCAGTATTTAAAATAAGTTGTCAGTGATGTACTCGAATTCTACACTAACTCCATAGTCATAACATTTGGAATCATAGCAGAAATTTAGTAAAGACACTCATTGCAAGGATGGAAGATTAAACATTTATAATATGCTAGAACTTTAATTTTAATTAAATTGAATGTAATAATATTTCTAAAGATAACCATTTTTTCTTTGTCTTTTAATCAGCATTAGAGTTTCTTGAGGTTATACAAATGATGCACTTCCTGTGTGTATTTTTTAAAGGAAAATACTGTTATTTTGAACTATATTTACTCTGTAATATTTTGATATTCAGCAAAATATTGATGAACTCATTTTACTCACTGATTCTTGAGGTCTGTTTAACTTGTTGCTAATCGAAGATATAGCTGACGAGTAGCAGATGTAAGCTAGACTCCTCCTCACCATATGCTGGCAGGTAGGGTGATGATTTACCATCTCTCTGTTGCTTCAGCCTATTGGTGTAGGTATACCAACAATTAATTTCAGAAAAAGGAGACCCAATGTTCAGGTAACCGAGTGGCATTAGCAGAGCGTTCATATTTACTAAATTAGAGTTGAAATTAAGCTTCTCTTCCCAAAAGCATATGATTAATCTGCCTTTCCTGACCTCAGGCTTTCAGAGCATGAGGTGGAGATGAGCATTATTTCTCAATAAGTTGCAACAAAATGCTATTAACGATGGCAGTGGATATGCTTTTTCTAACTGAAGATTGCTAGCAAATTATGTAGTAATCATGTTAATGATCAGAGTAATCAGAGATGATTTCTAAATACAAATTAAATAATGTGAAAGTAATGTCAAATCCATGTAATACTAACAACTTGCTTTTAAAATTAACTTTAAAATGGTGATAAAAATGGAATTGTGATGTGATCATTTCTGTAAACCATAAATCTTAAAGTCAAATTTTTAAAATTAAAGACTGGAAACATAAAAAGTCCAAAAGTAGAAGTCAGTATTGTGAATTTTTTGTCAGTTTTGAATAACATTGATTTACAGTGGTATTTGTGACTTAGAGGTTTAGGATGTATCCCTTCATGTTCCTACACTATGCCCATCATCAAGATACCCAGCACTCTCCTGCAGTTCACTGTGCTCCTCTTTTACTGACTGGAAAGGACATTGCAAAGTCTCTTCTCTGTGGACAATAGTATTTAAATATATTTTTATGTATGCATATTTCTGTAAACACAGTAAAAAAAAATAATTAGCTACCAAAATACAACTTCCTATGGTATAGAAAGTTGTATAGTTTAAGAAAATTTCCGAATGTCAAAGAAAGGTCAATGTGATTTGAGACTTCATATATATATCTATATATATACACATATATATATATATATATATATATATATAGTTCGTGAGCTTTTAATGGAGAGTGTCTATGATATTAAGAAATAACTAAGAGTTCCTTAACTGCAGATTACATCCATTTTCTTCTTCGGCTCTATTGATAGCCAACATTGTATCCTTGAGTAGTTCTCAAAATCCTATAGGACTTTAGTTTATTATTAAAATGCAGGAGAATTTAAGTGATCATTTTCTACACTACATACTAAAATAAACAGACCCTTTTACCTTCTTGTTTTTTATTCCCTCTCTGCCTGGCTCATTTTGAAAACTCTGATATAATTTGACTAGGGATAGGACTCAAACTTCTCAATAGTTTTTTTTTTAAAGCTTTCTAGGTTGTTCTAATGTACAGAGAACTTAGACTAGTAGAAGGTGTCATTGTTTACTAACTCTAGAATTCTATGATAGCATGGATTTGATGCTATTTTAGTTTTCATATCTTTTATGATTCCTGTAAGTTATTAAAATTGTATTTATGTCTTGACATATTTCATTTTCTTATGCTTCTTTGCATGCTTTTGTGTGTATTAAAATTTACAGTCATGTACATTTTAATGAATTTTTATAGTACTATCAAATACTGCATGTAGTGATTGTGGTATCATTTTAAAATAAACAACCTGAAATAGTTTGTTTTTATTTTCCTTCTGTGGAACCCCTAAATGGCAAGCTAGCAAGCACACAAAACTTTTGAATGAGGTAAACATTTTTGGAAATGTAATACTGGTGGTAATAACTACTGAGTATAGCAATTTAAAATATATCACCATTGCTTCCATTAGATTCACAAATGTCATTAGATTCACAAATGGTATGATGGCCATATCAATCGACCATAAAATTGTACAAGCGTGAAATGTGACATATTTAAAATTTCTAAGGGAAGTATTGGCAGCAGAGGACTGGATCTTAGTTTTCAAACATGCCTGGCTTTCTACTGTTTTTGAAAATCTCAATCGTTGTTCCTACTGGATTTTTATAAAATGGCTAGCTAGATTGCCATTTTGGAATGAGAAGTTATGCATTGACAGTTTTCCTTTATGATTTCATTTTCTTCTCTGTGTCGTTATATGTTGGTTCGGGACATGATCTGCATATTGCCAATTCTTCCTGATAATGCCTCCTCCATGCATGCTGGTTGGGTGTGGTCATGCTATGCATTATCCATTGCATGTAAGATAATATTTATGTTTTTATTTTATCATTTAGATTATTTTGCCTTTGTTTTACAGTGAGTGTGTTAAAATGTTAATGCTGTTATGATGGTGTTTGTATGAAGATACTTAGTTTTGGTTTGTTACGTAAGCCAGTCTGAATATATTAGGGTTTCCTTTGGGTACACAGTATCTTAGTTTTGTGTTTTGTGGAAAGGTTTAAAGTTATTTTTATTTTTATGAAATCATGGTACCTTTGAAATTAATATCTGTTTCTGAGGTGGAACGGTGCTGTTCAGTAGTCAGTGTCTTTACCTGTTGTACAATTTAACACCTTCAGAAGTTTAAAATCTCCTAAGTGTTGCCTCACAGAAACAGTGAAAATTTTTGAAATAAAAATATCAGACGCAGTTGAGATTATGATATTTAATTTGCTGTTATGACTCCCCCTTGATCATGAGCCCTGGGAATCATGAACTTTCATTATTTAAACAGAATTTAATTTTTTAAAGGGAGAAATTTTTGTCATAATTATTAAATATATTTGCCCCATGTACTGTGTCATACATGTTTGAAATATCTTTTCATTTTAATGAGTTTTATTCTTTCATCTATGGTAGTATGTCCTCCTAAAATAGCTACTAAGATAATTAAGATCTAGACATTTATGGCAGAATCTGTAAATCTAAAATTGTTAAAATTTTGATGACTTACTGTCAATACAGATAGCTTGTATTGAGTACGTGTATAAGTAATTGCCACTTGGGGGACACATTGTTATATTAAACAGAGAAAATCAGTTTTTAAGATATCTTTAACGTGATATTGTTAAGGCACCTATCATGACTTTATTGTTCTTTTGAACTTTTATGAATTTTATGAGTCTTACTAAACAAGTGTTGTAAGAGAATCCATGTAGTTTTCTTTATAAAGCAGTTCAATATGTCTTAATGTTATGGCTGAGAAATCCGAAAAAATATATGAGTTTGCCAAGCTAACAATTTCATTCAGTGTAATTATCTAAAGTATGTGTTCTGTTCCCCTGAAGTTTTCATTTATTTTTTCACACCAGCAAGAAAGAAAGGGTTACAGTGGGATACAGTGAACCTAGGGTTTATTATTTTAGTTAGACTTTAGTTATAATAACTAATCTGTATAGTCTTTATGATTTGATCACATGTTTTGTTTTACCAAATGACATGACTTGAATTATTAATATATGAAGTAAATTTCTTTAGTTTTTAAAAAGGAAGACTAGGTTTAGAAGATTTTGTTTTATTTAGCAAACTCAGAATGTCTAGTTATATTATTTTCCTTTTGCATCCTTCTGAGAGAAAAAAAAATGTGAATATGGTCTTCAAAAATTATCATCTCCCAGAACTTGTAATCACAAATACACTATGTTATACAGTTTCAACATGAGAGTGTTTTCATTTGGTGGTTAAAATTTGTCTGTTGCTCTTGAATTTCATCCCTAGCTTATTATTTTTTATATAAATGAAAGACTGTGCCTTTATATAATCTGTCAGCTATTTAATATCTGTTAGGTAAGTAACTTTTAAGGAATTAAATTCATATTAAAATATCCACTGAAGTACTTTATATACAACATCATGTTATAATTCATTATTTGCTTAATTATTATTGTTTTATGTGTAGAACCCCAAATCTCAGGAGCCAGTAACATTGGATTTCCTTGATGCCGAATTAGAGAATGATATTAAAGTGGAGGTGAGTGTACTCAGCACGTCTGAACAATAAATACCCTTGTTGCAAATGCTAGAATTTGTTGGTGCTATAGCCAGCTATTTGTTGAGTAGATTCATCATTGTCAGGATTTCTTGTCACTAATGTACAGAACAATGTTTGGTTTATCAATTTTCTAGACTGTGGACTTTCTTATCCAAAATGACTTGAAGTGAAAAGCATTTTGTGGTATGGGAGTGAGCTAAGGTTTTTTTCCTTCATACTCCAGGAGTAGAGAGATTTTACTCTTTTAGGTTCATTGTAGCAAGTAAATTAAAAAAAAATCATGGAAATGATAGACACTGTTTTCAAGTGGAAGGGAAAGTTGCATGGAACCCTCTCCAGTCACCCAATGAGCACCGTGGAGAGAGACTTGGCGTTTTGTGTATTAACACATACTGAAATAGTCACTTCTCTGAGAGGGTTTCTATAGTAATAGGGTAATTATAACAATAGTGGTAATATCCAATAAATACGTAATATGTATCTTTGATTTTAGAGTTTTTGAAATAGATGTTATATATATATTTTTAATTAAAATTATGTTTCTCTTGGATTGGTATGTTGAAAAGCTTGTTTCCATTTAGTTATCTAGTAAGTAATAGAACCAACAGTTGAAGGAGGCGTTTGCTCTCCAGGGCAGAGAAACTAGATTTTTCAAGTGGCTCACCTCCATATCTATTCAAAGGACACTATATATTTTTTATGACTTGCTATTGGGAGTTTTACTTTGTCCTTTGCACATTTACACACTTACTGCAAGGTAGAATATTAGAAATATTTAATACAATTACCTTCAACCTAAAGATACTCAGATGTTTTAGGTGATCAAATGCTGTAGGCATTTGACACAATAGCTAGATAGTCCATAGACTTGCTTTGAACTCTCATGTCATTGAGTCACAACACTACTATTATTCTCTCTTAAGTCTGTTTCCCCCAATCAGTCACATGAAATAAATGACCACTCTTTTATTTTAAAAGTTAATGACTGATTGAAAATATTAAAGGATATTTTTTATTTTTTAATTCTATAAAATTATGGTACTGTGATAGAGTTTAAGACAGTGTCATAGAAAACAGCTGTATGTATAAAGTATTTGTTTCTAAAATAATTTCATCGTTTTCCTTCAGATTCGAAATAAAATGATAGATGGAGAAAGTGGAGACAAAACTTTTAGAACTCTGGTTAAATCTCAAGATGAGGTAATAATTCATTTATATTTATTCATAAATGAATGAATAAAATAGACATCAGCAGTAACATTAAAGTAACTTCCAATTTTTGAAAGCATTGTTTTTAACTGGAGGTATATTTTTAATTGGTTATTATTAATTTGATTTTTTCTTCTTTTTATGAAATAGTGTCACTGCATTATGTTTTTGATGCATTTGTATTACTAGCAGTATGGTTTTGAAAATTGTATCATTGTAGGAAATAGACCACACTATGTAATTTTATGCATTTTTAGACTATTTAAAGTGTACAAAATTGAAGTTAGTATTTAATAGCTATCATATAGTTTGTGTATGCAGATGCTCTAATTGTATTTCAGTTATGATTTTGGTGGAGGGTTTTGTTTACTTATTCATGGTTGATTCATATCTTATTAATTATGCAGTTTGTATTAAAATTGTGTTGCATTTAGATCTGAAATTAAATCAGGCAATTTTATAGCTGCTACTCCCATCAATCTCTGGTATAAGTTAATTATTTTATATAGATTTGAAAGAACTGTGTTTATAAGGAGTGTATCTCTCCATTATCAACAACATATGTAGTTAATAGACATCAACATATTTTGAATATATAACTATATATGTGTATATGTATGTATGATGTG